CAATCTTTGAAATTTTCATCTTCACAATTCACTTGAAATTTTCATCTTCACAAATCGTGGTGAATTTCGCCTCGCTCTAATACCAATTGTTAGGATCGCTCAACAACGAACACTCGATCAAGATGAACACAAAGAACAAGAGAGAGATGTTCAAGCAATCTTTGAAATTTTCATCTTCACAATTCACTTGAAATTTTCATCTTCACAAATCGTGGTGAATTTCGCCTCGCTCTAATACCAATTGTTAGGATCGCTCAACAACGAACACTCGATCAAGATGAACACAAAGAACAAGAGAGAGATGTTCAAGCAATCTTTGAAATTTTCATCTTCACAATTCACTTGAAATTTTCATCTTCACAAATCGTGGTGAATTTCGCCTCGCTCTAATACCAATTGTTAGGATCGCTCAACAACGAACACTCGATCAAGATGAACACAAAGAACAAGAGAGAGATGTTCAAGAAGGAATAAGGCTAAAAGTTTTATTGATGACTTCACTTATGTAAGAGAAAATATAGAGAATGAAGAGACTGTCTAATAGGTATATATAGGGTTTCAATTTACTAAATATAGGTTTCAAAGATTTAACCGATAGAATTTATTAAATATTATCTGTCATATATATGTGTATCAGATCTTTACGAAATATATACAAAATATATCTCTACTAGATCTTTACTATAAATAGGCATCAAACTCCATATCCCAACAATGGACCCGTCCTATGGGTAGGCATTTTCGTGTGGATAGTTAGTGGACCTGACATGTACATGGGGTAGCCCCTCCGACATTGGATGACGAGTAGGCTAGCACTCATCATGTTGTCTCCATTTGTTAGAGTTATTTGAGGTAGCACCTCAACACCGGTTACCACTGCGTAGGCTAAGCTACCTACCCAAAATTGTGCACAACAAGAACGATACACCTAAATTCTAGAGTAAGCTTGTGCTCTCTTGCTAGGTAAAGAATGCAATGATAACTTACAAGTAGGTTGCGTATTGATTATACTTATATACTCAACCCTTTTTATCTTTTCTTTTTTAGGTGCATGATGTTGTTGGTCGAGGCGAGAGGGTGCTCGAAGAATCAGTAGCCACAGAAAGGGTGTTAATCTAGGCATCTGTGTTGTCATCATAATTTTTTGTAGTCTGACGTATCATACACGTCTTTTGTATTCCGATCTCATTCCCTCTTTTAAGAAAAAATTGAACACATGAACATGTATATGTTTTTACATTGGAGCATCCAAATGAAAGCTCTTCTCGGTTCGCAAGACGCATGGGAGGTGGTCGAAGAAGGTTTCGAAGAACCGAAGGATACCACGGGTTATACGATGGTGCAAAACAAGGCGCTAAAGGAAGCATGATCAAAAGATAAGGCAACATTATATATGTTGTTCTTAGCTATTGACGAGTTGGGCTTTGAAAAAATTGCAAGGGCAACTACTTCAAAAGAAGCATGAGACACTCTAGAAAAGGTGTTCAAAGGAACCGACCGAGTCAAGCATATGCATCTCCAGACTCTGCGTGGCGAAATTGGAGAGCATGAAGATGAAGGAGTCAGAAAATGTATCTAACTACATTACACGTGTACAGACCGTGACGAATCAACTAAATCAAAACGGAGAAATGTTACCCGAAATGTGGGTTGTGGAGAAAATCTTGAGGTTGTTTACAGACAACTTCGAGAATGTTGTATATGCCATGGAAGAATCGAAGGACCTAGCAAAGTTCGATGAGCTCGTCGGTTCTCTCGAGGCACACGAGCAACGTAAGAGAAAGAAGGAGGAGATACTCGATCAAGCGCTCCAGACGAAGGCATTAATAAATGATGAAAAAGTACTCTACACTCAAAATGTTCAAGGTACAGGTCGTGGAAACCGTGGGAATGGTCGAGGTGGTTAAGGCAACAGTTACGAAGAAATCTATAATGAGAAGAGACTATCGAGTCAAGAAAATTAGTGTGGAAGAGGGACGTAGTCGAGGAAGAGGCGGCCGATCAAACATTTAGTGCTATAAATGTCAGAAATATGATCACTATGCAAATAACTGTAACTCCGACAAATGTTAAAATTGTGGTAAAATGGGGCACGTTGCAAAAGCATGTCGAGCCGGAAAAAAAGGTGGAAGGAACAACCAACCTAGCCGTGGAAGATGTAACAGATGAAGGTCTTATTTTGATGGCTTAAGATGAAGAGAACTTCAACAGCGAAACTCTGTGGTACCTCGACTGAGGGGCAAGCAACCATATGTGCGGTCACGAGCACCTATTCAAAGAAATGCAAAAAATTGAAGATGGTCATGTGTCATTTGGAGATGCGTCAAAGGTGGAGTTCAAAAGCCGAGGTACGATTCACTTTTTGCAAAAGGATGGTGTGATGGGGTCAATCCAAGATGTTTATTACATACCAGACCTCAAGACCAACATATTTAGTATGGGGCAACTCACAGAGAAAGGTTACTTGATATTCCTAAAGGACCGCCCGCTACACCTGAAGGATAAGAAATGACGTTTGGTTGCTCGAGTCGAGATAGGAAGAAATCGGATGTATAAATTAAACTTAAGAAGCATACGAGAAAAGTGTTTGCGAGTCGACGTAGAAGACAAGGCATCACTGTGGCATCTCCGCTTTGGTCACCTACATCATGGCGGCCTAAAGGAGTTAGCAAAGAAGAATATGGTACATGGGCTACCAAACATGGACTTTGAAGGAAAATTTTGGGAAGAATGCGTGCTCAGCAAGCATGCGAGAACCTCAATTCAAAAGAAGGCTGAATTTTGGGCTAAACAACCTCTCGAGCTGATCCATACAAATATATGTGGACCAATTAACCCCGAATCCTTCCGTGGAAAGAGGTATTTCATATCCTTTATTGATGATCACTCACAGAAAACCTGAGATTACTTTCTGGAAGGAAACTCCGAGGTATTCAAGGTGTTCAAAAAGTTCAAAGTAATGGTGGAGAAGGAAACTGGTAGACACATCAAAGCTGTACGATCTGATAGAGGTGGCGAGTATACTTCGACGACTTTCATGGAGTACTGCGAGAAGCAAGGCATAAGGAGATTTCTAACCGCGCCGGACACCCCTCAACAAAATGGTGTGACCGAGAGAAAGAACCGGACCATTCTCGACATGGTTTGCTCAATGTTTAAGAGCAAAAGGATGTCGAAGGAATTTTGGGCAGAAGCTGTGCAATGTGCCATCTACGTATAGAATCAATGTCCACACGCGAAGTTAGATGATCAAACACCACAAGAGGCTTGGAGCGGACAAAAGCCTACAATTTCTCATCTCAAGGTGTTCGGTAGTGTGGCTTATGCCCACGTACCGGACCAACAAAGAACGAAGCTCGAAGACAAAAGCAAAAGGTATATCTTTATTGGATATGATGAGAAGACAAAAGAATACATACTACTTGACTCGATTAGCAAGATGGTGACAGCGAGTCGCGACGTGCGAGTAAATGAAGCAAGTGAATAGGACTGGAACAATTCGACGGAAGTCAATATCGAAGTTGGAGAAACATCAGTTGCTGCACCAACAAGTGCACCAACAGACTTAGAAATCTCTGATGATGAAGATGAACCACGACAACCCAAGATGCGAAGTTTGCAAGATTTGTATGACTCAACAAATGAGGTACACCTTGTATGTCTTCTGATAGATGCTGAAAATATCAGCTTTGAAGAAGTAATGCAAGACACGAAGTGGCAAACTGCCATGGATGAGGAAATTAAAGCGATTCATCGCAACAACACATGAGAAGTGTCAAAATTACTGGAAGGAAGTCAGCCCATAAGTGTGAAGTGGGTATTCAAGAAAAAGATGAATGATCAAGGCGAGATTGAACGGTACAAGGTGCGACTTGTTGCGAAGGGATACAAGCAAAAGGCGGTTATCGACTATGCGAAGTGTTTGCTCCCGTCGATAGAATAGAGACAATCCAATTGATCATTTCCCAAGCAGCCCAATTCAAATGGCCAATTTTTCAAATGGATGTCAAGCTAGCATTCTTGAATGGTGTGCTTGAAGAAGAAGTATACCTCGAACAACCTCCCGGGTACGTGAAAATTGGAGAAGAGAAGAAGGTACTAAAATTGAAGAAGGCGCTTTACGGGTTGAAACAAGCACCGCGAGCATGGAATAATCGTATCTACAAATACTTCAGGGAGAACGGGTACAAGCAATGTCCCCACGAACATTCACTTTATACAAAGAAGAGTGGAGGTAATGTGATACTTGTCGCTCTTTAACTATACTCTGCTAGATGAGGAGGTAGCGACTCTCTTACTTGCCAATCCTCAGGTCTCATGCTCTCATCCAATCAAGATCAAGATTAAGAAACAGTTGGAGATTCCTTAAGTTCCAAAAAAAAAAAAAAAACAACAAAACAAAACAAAAAAACACCTAAACTGAAACGAGATTTGGCGGCTAAAGGATTAAAGTGAAAAGAAGGAAACCTGTGGAGTACATGCATTGTTGTGTGTATCACAATACTTCTTGTACACGACAGAGAAAAAAGGAAGGAGAAAACAGCTTGGCCTTAGGGTTGAATGGCTTGGGCTGTTCATTGTCATGTTTTTGGTGGCTGCACACCCAACTCTGTTTGTGTAAACCCTAAGCCACTTGGATTATGGATACACACAAATACTCTCTTTCATGTTCTTATTTAAAAATTCACTTGTTTAGTTTGACAACTCCTTTTCATCTCATTATTTCATGTTGTTTACGCTACAAGCTATGTTTACCTCATAATAAATCAAACCAGACCCCTTTCAAATCCCCTAAACCTAAGCGACGGCACAGCTTATCTCTTGACCAATTCCATATTTTATGCATTATTTTCTTTGATGATCCTATAAATACCATCACTAACCTCTCCACTCCACACCATCATTTCATCCTATCTTCTTCCTCTTTTCTCCCAAATACCAAACCATATTCATAAACACACACCCAAAATGACAATTCTTAGAGGCTTTCTTCTTCTTTTCTTTCCTTTTGTGTTCCTCTATTCTTCCTCTGCAATTGCCTTCTCAAATAACGTTGTCGATTTAGGAGCCAAGCCCGATGGCAAATCTGACTCTACCAAAGCATTTGAAACCGCATGGGCTAATGCATGTGGCTCCACGAGACCAACCTCTATTTATGTTCCACCGGGAAGATATTACCTTCGTAGTCTAACATTCAATGGGCCGTGCAAGAATAATGCAATTTTCATACGCATTGATGGCACTTTGGTGGCTCCATCAGACTATAGGGTTATTGGCAATTCTGCGGCTTGGATCTTGTTCAGGCGAGTTGATGGAGTAACTATCTCAGGTGGAGTTTTTGATGGTAAAGGAAGTGGGTTATGGGCATGCAAGAACTCGACCAGGACTTGTCCTAGTGGGGCCACGGTATGAAATTTAACTTCATTAATCCACTCCCTCCTCCACTTCATAAACAATTAGCCCTTTCATTTATTCAATTCATCACGTTTACGAGTCTATCATATAATTATGCCATTTGAGATAACATTTTTTTTTTTTAATGTCTTCATTTGTGCAGACAATTGAAATCTCGAACTCAAAGAATGTAGTGCTTAGTGCATTAACCTCACTCAATAGTCAAATGTTTCACATAGTGGTAAATGGTTGCCAAAATATCAAAATGAAAGGACTTGTGGTCTTGGCTTCGGGCAACAGTCCCAATACTGATGGCATTCACGTACAACTATCATCTGATGTGACCATACTCAACTCCAAAATAGGCACAGGAGACGACTGCATATCCATCGGCCCTGGGACATCTAGCTTGTGGATTGAGAATATTGTTTGTGGGCCAGGCCATGGAATAAGGTAGGTTCAATTATTATTATTATTATATTCAAAACTTGTATGCGAAAAAATAAAAATGTAAAACTCATAAGTAAATACGTTTGGTCGATTTTGTAGCATCGGAAGTCTAGCAAAGGACTTAGAAGAGGCTGGAGTGCAAAACGTGACCATTAAAAAAGCTTTATTTTCACGCACCCAAAATGGGGTGAGAATCAAGGCATGGAGTAGGCCAAGCAATGGGTTTGTTAAGAGTATTCTCTTCCAACATATTGTCATGGACAACGTACAAAATCCAATTGTTATTGACCAAAATTATTGCCCAAGTCACAAAGATTGTCCGGGTCAGGTAATATACATGATTTGTAAGCCATTCAAATGGACTTTCAATTTACGGCTCTTGATCATATTTCAATTGTTAACCCTTCCTTAACTTTCTTCTTGTTTGCATCAAACAGGCTTCAGGAGTCAAAATCAGTGGCGTGACGTACCAAGACATTCACGGAACATCAGCCACTCAAATTGCAGTGAAATTCGATTGTAGTCCAACAAATCCATGCAGTGGAATAAAAATGGGGGACGTAAAACTTTCTTATAAGGATCAAATAGCTGGAGCGACATGTAGCCACGTAAGAGGAACTGCTACTGGTCGTGTTGAACCGAGTAGTTGCTTGTAGGGAAACTTGTATGATGAAACTTGATGTATTTGCATCTCTAGCATGTGGCCTTGTGTGTACGTAGTTACGAGGCTACCATGACATAATACTTGTTTTATGAGCAAGGAAAGCCATTATTTCTATTCTTTTGTATGGTAATACGTGGAAGTATATGTGAAACAAAACAATAAATCGATTTTTTTTTATTAGATTTGAAACTTGATTATCGTTCCTATGTTCCTCTGCGACATGATTATGTTACTTACTTTTCGCTTTTAAGAGTGAAAACTATTTACACAGATTAACACATGTCATCACTCCAATATGTTTTGTTCTCATCACATGCATCATAGGAAAATTCACAAGTGGTCACCCAAGATAAGATTGTTTTGGATAAAGCACGTTTAATTATGGAGTTTTTATTAATGAAGCACCGAATAGGAAGGTGCATTTGACTAGTATATGTTGTAACTTTCAATTCTTTTAAATTTTTCTTAGTCATTCTATCCTCATAATTGCTCTCATTAAGACGTGGTCTCTGTTAATTCATGTACCCCTCATTCGAGTGTCACATGTAGATTGAGATCCTATTTCCTTAATTTTCATAGGTAGCAAAGGTGAAATATTTTAAATTTTGAGAGTAATTTTAAAAGTAGGGTATGGTTAAGTTGGGTTATAACCCTATCTTCAGGTAGTCGAGTTGGGTTATAACCCAATTTTCAGATAACCCTATTCTCATAAAACTCAAACATCAAACATTAACAAGTCACAATGTATCTCTAACATTAGTTACAAACGTCAAATATTCTCAATTTTCATAATAATTTTAAAAATATGGTAGGATCGAGTTGAGTTGTAACTCTATTTTCAGGTAGTTCAAGTAGGTTCTCATAAAACTCAAATATAAAAGATTCACAAGTCACAATGTATCACTAACATCAATAGCAAACGTTAAATATTTTTAATTTTCATAATAATTTTAAACATATCACAGGGGTTACAGTTGGATTATAACCTTATTTTCAGGTACTTTGAGTTGGGTTTTTAACCCTATTCTCATGAGACTAAAATATAAAAAATTCATAAGTCACAACGCATTACTAACATTGGTAACAAACGTTAAATATATTCTTAATTTTCATAATAATTTTAAAACTACGGAACGATTTAGTTGAATTGTAATCCTATTTTCATATAGTTCGTATCGAGTTATTGATAGTTGCGATTAATAAAATTATCTAATCATATTAACCCTCTAAATAGTGCAATAACCTACTATTTCTCCTCATTTCTTTTTCTTTGTTTTTTTATTTTTTTTTTATTTTTAAATTTCCCCAAAAAAAATCAACATTTAATAAAAATCCCCAAAATAATATAAGAGAAGCGAGCCCACAACCATACATATGGCTACCGTTTCTCTTTCCCTGCACTCAAAGAGAGAAGAAAATGGCAATGGCCTTATCCTCATCTACAATTACTCCGACCCTCAAACTGTCGCCTCCTCCAAAATCCCAACCTGCCCGGCTTCTCCTTCGCATCCCCTCCAACACCAATTCCACCGCCCCAACTTCGATCAATAAGCTCCTCACCGTTGCACCTTCCGACAAGTGGAGGCTCCGAATCTCTTTCTTTCCTGCCTTTTTGAAGAAAGGGAAAGATGTTGGTGCCCTTAAAGAGGAGCTTCTTGAGGCGATTGCGCCCCTTGATCGAGGAGCTGAGGCCACCCCTGAAGACCAGGAAATGGTCGATCAGGTTTGGTATCGTTATCTCACTTTTGAAGTTTTATTATGCTGTAGTTTAAAATGGAAAATTTTCAATTTGAAGGAGGATTTATACAGAAAGGCCACTACAATGTGATAGACGATTTTATATGGCTAGACGTAAGAGGTAGCTAGAAGTCATACTTTAACTATATGTCCAAGGACCATGTTCAAATCTCTTAGAAGTTGCATTTTTTGTGTGGCAAATTTTACATGAGAGTTTATACACTTTGGACGATGTTCAACGACATTCCTTTTTAGTGTGCATAGCGGTGTGTTCTTCGTTATGTTGTGGTGTTGGAGGTTGTAAGATCTTACATTGGTTGAGGAGGAGAATGAAGCATTCTTTATAAAAGTATGGAAACCTCTCCCCAGTAGACGTGTTTTAAAAACCTTGAGGGGAAGCCAGAGAGGGAAAGCCCAAAGAGAAAAATATGTGCTAGTGGTGGGCTTGGGCTGTAACCGTTGGTATCAAAGCCAGACACTGGGCGATGTGCCAGCGAGGAGACTGAGTCTCAAAAGCGGGTGGACATGAGGTGGTGTGTTCTTTGTTATGGTGTCGTGTTGGAGGTTGTAAGATCTCACATCGGTTGGGGAGGAGAATGAAGCATTGTTTATAAAGGTGTGGAAACCTCTCCCTAGTAGACGTGTTTTAAAAACATTGAGGGGAAGCCTGAGAGGGAAAGCCCAAAGAGAAAAATATCTGCTAATAGTGGGCTTGGGCTGTTACCGTTGGTATCAGAGGCAGACACTGGGCGATGTGCCAGTGAGGAGATTGAGTCCCGAAAGGGGGTGGACACGAGGTGGTGTACCAGTAAGGACACTGGGTCCTGAAGGGGTGGTCCCACATCGATTGAAGAAGGGAACGAGTGTCAGCGAGGACGCTGGGCACTGAAGAGGGTGGATTGTAAGATCCCACATCGGTTAGGGGAGGGGAACGAAACACCCATTATAAGGGTGTGAAAACATCTCCCTAGCAGACGCGTTGTAAAAACCTTGAGGAGAAACCCGAAAGGGAAAGCCCAAAGAGGACATTATCTGCTAGCGGTGGTTGTGAGATCTCATGTTAGTTGGAGAGGGGAACGCAACATTTTTTATAAGGTGTGGAAACATCTGTCTAGCATACGCGTTTTAAAAACCTTGAGGGGAAACCCAAAAGGGAAAGCCCAAAGAGGACAATATCGGGAAGCGGTGGGCTTGAGTCGTTACAAATGGTATCAGAGCCAGCTTCCTTGAGAATATGAGGTGATTGGAAGTAATGCTTTTGTCTTAGTTTTGGAGGTTTAATTTGGTCATGTTTCTATGATGGATCTTGGTACCGGAGGGAACATCTTAAGGCCCTTAGATTTGCTATGCATGATACACGTTGTTGGTTAGAGCACAATGCATACCATGAGAACAGGCTTAACATGCTCTATTGAGGATTACATCCATGTGTGTTCTCTTGTTAGATTCTATGTTTCTCTTTGGATTTGAGTGTCGAGTCTTTTTTGTAACTACTCGCTAAGCCTTATTTTACTTGTTTAGAGTCCCTTTTTGTGGACTTATGTTTTTTGTATGCATGTGTATTCTATCGTGTTTCTCTAGGAAAGGTCCGTTATTCATTAAAAAACTATATAATCTATTGAAAATGTATTGACTTGATTAAAGAAGATCTGGTATGGATGGTTGATTGGTGTGCTACTATACTGAGTTGAATGTGTTGAGTGTCACGGTCATGCTTGTCTAAGACGTATTGTCTGTGGTTGTGTGTGAGATCCCACATCAGTTGGGAGGAGAACGAAACATTCTTTATAAGAGTGTGGAAACCTCTCCCTGGTAGATGTGTTTTAAAAACCTTGAGGGGAAACCCGAAAGGGAAAGTCTAAAGAGGAAAATTTCTGCTAGCGGTGGGCTTGGGTCGTTATAAATGGTATCAGAGACAGACATCGGGCGATGTGCCAGCAAAGAGGCTGAATCACGAAGGGGGGTGGACATGAAGCGGTGTGTCAGCAATGACGTTGGGCCCGGAAGGGGGGTGGATTGTGAGATTCCACATCGGTCGGGGAGGAGAACAAAACATTCTAGTTAAGGGTGTGGAAACCTCTCCCTAACAAACGCGTTTTAAAAACATTGAGAGTAAGCCCGAAAAGGAAAGTCCAAAGAGGACAAATCTATTAGCGGTGGGCTTGGGCAATTACACCGCGTGTTGGATGTCCCGGTCATGTTTGTCCAAGACGTGTTGTCAATGGTTGCATGCCTGTTCCAAACCCTTTTTACTTGTTTTCATGTTAATAGGCATTTACTATTCTTGTTGTGTTAATACGGAAGTGTATGACCGGTCACCAAAATCATATCTACACTCACATGGCTAAAATGCTCCAAAATGTACTATAAGAGAATGGGACTAGTAACCAATTTTTTCTACCTAAGTTACATGTCATCAAAACTATGTTGTTGCTTATTTTATTTTAGCCTCTAACATTGCTGTCTTTTAAATTGTTTTTAACACATTTCCTTTCTCACGTTTCCAAAATATTTCTCTTAAACGTGACCCAAGGCTCGAACATACTAATATTATCCACGACGTCTGAATCTCACATGACTAACTTGTTCAATGGGTTAGAACAAGTGTCGCACAATCGCTGTCCCACTACCACAAGAGTGCCGTTGTGACTAAGTGCATGGTGCCCTACTAAATAGGAAAGATATAAAGGAAGACTTCTTATTTGGATGATATCATTTCTATCTGTACCTTGAAGTCAACTTAACCATAAAAGTACCAAGTTGACCATAAAAGTACCATGTGAAAGTGGAAAGAAGCTTTTTTTTTTTTTTTTTTTAGAATGGGCGACTAGTGTCACAATTGGACTCTTACAGCAACGAGACAACGATTGTGCGACACTTGTTTTAACCCACCGAACAAGTCAACCATGTGAAATTCGGACTTCGTAGATAATATTGGAGTATGCTCGAGCCTCCAGTCACATTTGAGAGATATGTTTTAAAAAAACGTGAGCGAGAAAATACGTTGAAAACAATTTTTAAAAAAGCAATGTTATAGGCTAAAAACGAATAAGCAACAACAATGACTTTGATAGCATATAACCCAGGTAGGAAGAATAGACAACTAGTCACATCCTCCATAGTACATTTTGGGGCAATTTAACCCTAGCGGATGTAGACATGATTTTGATGACCGGTCATACACCCCCATATTCACACAATAAGAATAGTAAATGCCTATCTAACATGAAAGCAAGTAAAAGGAATTTGGAACGGGCATGCAGTTATGGACAACATGTCCTAGACAAGCATGATCAGGACATCCGACCCACGTCCACAGACAACACGCCTTAGACAAGCATGACCGTGACAACTAACACCTTAGGTAAGATCTAGTAGACCATAATAGCATGGGTAATTAGCCTAAAATTCCAAATTTGAAGGCCTTTTTCCTTCTTTGAAATGAGCATTAAATTCCAACTTTATAAGTTATTGCAGTGTGATGTCCCACATTAGTTGGGGAGGTGAACAAACCACCATTTATAAGGGTGTGGAAACCTTCCCCTAGCAGACGCGTTTTAAAGCTTTAAGGGGAAGCCCGAAAGGGAAAGCCCAAAGAGGACAATATCTGCTAGCGGTGGATCTAGGCCGTTACCTGCATGGTTAATTTTCTATATATATTCGCTTTTAATAAATGATAGCATAATTTTTCATCTCATTTTGATATATTTAAACCAACAGATATCACGTAAACTTGAAGCAGTTAACCCAATGAAGGAACCACTCAAATCTGATTTACTAAATGGGAAATGGGAGCTCATATATACCACATCAACATCAATTCTGCAAACTGAGGTAGCTGGATACTTCATTATAACATGCTTCCTCACAACTATTTATGCTGTTTTTCTATCTCTCTGGTTGTCCTGAAGAATTTTGATTGATATTAAGATCTTTTATCTGCTGTTATTGATAAGACACCATCTTTAGTTAAGGAAAATGTGATAACATAAGTAAGGCCATCAAAAAATACTTGCCTAAAACAAGGAAAGGAGTTAGAATTATAAAAAACGCTCAACAAAATGTGGGAATGGGGATTAAAACCTTTGACCGATATAAGGCCTGTTGAGGATTGTTGGGAGAGGAGTCCCACATTGGCTAATTAAGGGGGTTGATCTGATCATGGGTTTATAAATAAGGAATACATCTCCATTGGTATGAAGTTTTTTTGTGGATAATATAGTACCATTGTGGAGATTTGTGATTTCTAACATAGTATCAGAGTCATGCCCTTAACTTAGTCATGTCAATAGAATTCTCAAATTTCGAACAAATAAGTTGTAAGCCTCGAAGGTGTAGTCAAAAGTAACTCAAGTGTCGAACAAAAGGTGTACTTTGTTCGAGGGCTCCAAAGAAGGAGTTGAGCCTCAATTAAGCGGAAGTTGTTCGAGGGCTCCATAGGCCTTATAGGAGGCTCTATAGTTACTTTGTTCGAGGGGAGGATTGTTGGGAGAGGAGTCCCACATCTGCTAATTATCATATATCTAATTCCTGTGCTTTCGATTTCGATTTCGATTTCCGAGTAAACAACATCAAAAGGAATAATATTCCGATTTTCATTTCATTATGATTGATTCTTCTTCTGAACAGTCATATTTTTGTATTTTGATAGAGGCCCAAGTTGTTAAGATCAAGAACAAACTATCAAGGAATCAATGTAGATACACTAAGAGCTCAAAATATGGAATCCTGGCCATTCTTCAACCAGGTATAACCTATACTGTTCTTTTCATTGTATTTGTTTTTAATGAGATATTACTCAATCTCTCTCTTTTACTTCCTAATTATACTTGTGTGTCAATGGATCATATTTTTACATAATGTAACTTCTGCCTTTGCAATTTATAGTTTGAAGACTGGTAAAGAAGTACATTTGTAAAGTTTACTATAGTAGCTAAGCTTTATCCTTGTCCTGTAAACTTTTTTACTGTTGGTGACGTAGAAGCAACAATAGGGACTAATCAAAGAAGGCTTAACCATTCTAGAGAATTTCTTTCTTACCACCGTAAATGGGACTAGGAAGATGTGAGATCCCATGTCGATTGGGGAGGAGAACAAAGCATTCTTATAAGGGGTGGAAACCTCTCCCTAGTAGACGGGTTTTAATAAAAACCTTGAGGGGAAGCTCGAAGGGGAAAGTCCAAAGAAGACAATATCTGCTAGAGGTGGGCTTGGGATGTTACGAATGGTATTAGAGCCAGACATCGGGCGCCATGTGCCAATGAGAAGACTGAATCTCGAAGAGGGGTAGACATGAGGCGGTGTACCAACAAGGACGTTGGCTCCAAAGGGAGGTGGATTGGGAGGGTCCCACATCGATTGGAGAAGGCTGAGCCTCTGTGGGCTTTCCCTTCCGGACTTTCCCTCAAGGTTTTTAAAACGTGTCTGCTAAGGAAAGGTTTCTACACCCTTGTTAAGAATGTTTTCGTTCTCCTCCCCAACCGATGTGGGATCTCACAATCCACCCTCCTTCGGAGTCCAGCGTTCTCGTTGGCACTCGTTCCCTTTTCCAATCGATGTGGGACCCCTAGTCCACCTTCCTTTGGGGCCTAGCGTCCTTACTGACACACTGCCTTGTGTCCACATCTCCCTTCGGGGTCAGTTTCCTCACTGGCACATCGCCCGGTGTCTAGCTCTAATACCATTTGTAACGGCTCAAACCCACCATTTGCAGATATTGTCCTCTTTGGGCTTTACTTTTCGGGTTTCCTCTCAAGGCTTTTAAAACGCGTCTGCTAAAAAGAGGTTTCCACACCCATATAAAGAATGTTTCGTTCTCCTCTCCAACTGACGTGGGATCTCACACTCTGGTTTCTCTCGTTCCACAACTTCCATAGGGATACCATAATGGAGTTTAACCATGTAATTCTAGCCTTATTCTTGAAAGGAGATCCCAGAAATCAACTGGAAAAGAGACTCGACTTAAGAGTACGAGCTGTCTAGAACCCCCCTTACAAGTTCGGGGTTGAAGGTGGTAGAAGACATAAGATGAAACTAGTTGAGAGACTGTATTACTACTCTTTGTTAAAATGTTCAATAAAGTTTCTATGTATGTTTAATCGTTGAGATAAAAGAATCTAACAATATATGAAAGAAATGCTTATCTATTTTTTCTCAATGAGATGATGTATTCACATTCTTGTCCTTTTTATAGGTCACAGCCAACTTGAAGCCTTTAAACACAACAAAAGTAGCTGTTCAATTTGACACTTTCAAAATTCTTGGTCTGGTAAGTCATCTGGTTTCTTTGATTATTACATATCTATCCAACTATATTGTGCTTGCATTTCTCGGACTCTGAGACTCAGTTTCTTGAAATAAAAGGAATGAGAATTACTGTGAGATCCCACGTCGGTTGGGGAGGAAAACGAAACATTCTTTATAAGGGTGTGGAAACCTCTCCCTAACAGACGCATTTTAAACCCAACAAGGACAATATCTGCTTGCGGTGGGTTTGGACTGTTACAAATGGTATCAGAGCTAAACACTGTGGCAATGTGCCAGCGAGGAGGCTGAGTCCCAAAGGGGGTGGATTGGGTGGGTTCCACATCAAAGGGAATGAGTGTCAGTGAGAATGTTGGGTCCCAAAGGGTAGTTGATTGTGAGATCCCACATCGGTTGGAGAGGAGAACAAAACATTTTTTATAAGAGTTTGGAAACCGCTCCCTAATAGATGCGTGGCATACAACATTCCACTAATGTCTCACAATAAATCTTTCATCAGTTGTAACTTTATTGATGTAATTTTGTTCGTGTCTTGAACAACAGATACCAATTAAAGCGCCAGGAAGAGCGCGTGGTGAACTGGAAATCACATATTTGGATGAAGAGTTGCGGTAAGTTATCGTGCTAAATATTTCTTATCGTTTTCTAGTTTCTTCTAGAAGCGGGATTGAGGTCAATTCGGAATAACTTTTGGAAGGTTGAAAAGTTCCTTAAGACATTATATAAACACGCGACAAAATTTTCGAAATCAAACTTAGACTAACATCTTGGTCGAGAATATGTCTTAACCTGTTGAACACTTGAACTACGATTATATCATTGTATTTTGACAGAATATCTCGAGGTGACAAAGGGAACCTCTTTATCTTGAAGATGATCGACCCTTCTTATCGGGTACCGGTATAACATTAATCTCTTTACTATTATCTTATAATCTGTATATTTATTATATACCAAATTATACCTTAGGAATCTCTCCAAAGTGTAATCTAGAAATGTCCTTTTCCCAAATATTTTTAATTGCCATTCATGAATTGGTATGCAATTAAGATTTTATTTTTATTTTATTATCTCTCTTCATATTTACTAAAATCCAATAGAGAATGCAATTTTAAATAAAATAATTAGATTTTCGAAAGTATTTAAATTTTATTAAATTAAAATAATAATTATATAAAACTTTTAAAATTTAATACCCTTGAATTTTTTATAATTAAATTTAAAATTTTCATTAATACTCTTTAATTTTAAAAAAAAATTAAAAATATTTTTACCAGTAGAATTATGTTTAAAAATATTCATAAAATTTTAAAAATAATATTAAAACTCTTTACTTTTATAAAAAAAGAATTCAAAATTTTATTTTTCTGACTATTTATATCTAATTTTTTTTAATATTACTTTTGATAGTTAAAGGAGTATTTTTTTATACGTGAAGAGTAAATGTAATTTTAAATTATTTTTTTCAAAAAAATTAATTTTTTTTTTTTAGTTTTAAAGTATTTTTTAATTTTCTTTTTTAAAATTTAAGGTATTAATGAAAATTTTGAAATCTTAATAATGATTTCTGGAGTTTAAAGATTAAATATTAACAATTTTTTTACTTTTTTTTTAATAAATATTAACAATTTTTTTATGATATAGATATTTTAAACGTTTTTTTTTTTACTTTTCTCAAATATTATTAAAACTTTTAACATTTAGAAATACTTTTATTAAATTAGTTAAATTAATAATTAATAAATAATAGTTAGATTTGATAAATTGGTTAAAAATATTTTTATTAATTTAACTAAATAGGTTCATAACTTCATAAATAATAGTTGAGATTTAATTTAATATTTAGTTGAAAACGATAAGGATTTTTACTTAATTCTTATTGGGGCTCGGGTCTTAAATGGATATAATCATTTTAGGCAAATTGATCATTCACGTATTGTTTGTAATTACTAATGCGTCAAAAATTTTCTTTTCGATGTAACTACATCTTAGGTCAACAATTTTTTTTTTTTTTATGATCTAACCATAAACTACGTCTCTCTTTGATCAGTTAAAGGGTGGACCCAATTGTTCGAATCTCGAAATCAACACATAGGAAACTATTCATCTACTCTAAGAAGCAAATTTCATACGTAAGATTACGCTTTCTGCTCTCTATGTGGTCAAGTCCTTAAAATGATAGATATATTGAATTAACTACAAAAATTATTTTCACATATGATCCTCACAAACAGAAGTCTATAACTCACTCAGTATTAAAATCTAGTGGTTATGATCATTCTGCAAAATATTAATCTTCTCAATTAATGAATTTATAAAACGAGATCAAATGCATTGTGGTATAAAAATCTATTGCATAGAATATCCTCGCTCACGTGTCTCCATATGAATAATTTATATCAAATCATTTGTAATAATTACAAAGTGAATCGTATCAACAGTGATATTTATCGACTATTGATACAAACTGTATTGTACCAATAGTGTTACTATGAAGGTATCCTTCGTTTTTTTAGATCATCTCATTTGACATTGAACAATTTTAGGTAATACACTATCATCAACCTCTACGATAATTTTATCAAAATAGTTATTGATGCAAACGAATTTAACCCTATAAGTTGATGACAACATACTAGGCAAAATAACATTTCAAAACAAATAAGAAGTCAAATTATGCTCATTGTAACAAATATACTTGACTGATAAATTTAGTATAAAAATAATATAATTTAGTAAATCAATTATATATGAAAAATGGAAAATGTCGAGTTGATTTTTTTTTTTTTTTTTTTTTTTTT